TGTCGCGCACTTTAAACTCGGGAACCACAAAAGCTAGGCGGCTGAAATTTTAGTATAGTGTTCCCCACCAAAGTGTGACGCGGCAAATTTAAATTCAGCCTTCCCGTACCCGCGGGTAACACGTACGGCCCGTAAAAAGTTTTGGCCGGTAGAACTATTATCACGGGAACCATGCAAGCTAGAAGGCTGAAATTTTGTGGGCATGTCTCCCGCCCATGTGTTACCCAGAAAATTCAAATTCAGCTTTACTCTGCCCGAGGGTAACACATGCGGCTCCGGAAAAATTTTTGACAAGTAAATTATTATCTCGGGAATCACGGAGTCTAGGAAACTGAAGTTTTAGGCCTGTGACTCCTTGCCCACAAACGATTTTGCAAATTCAAATCCAGCATCACCTGCGCTCTCGGGTATCACCTACGGCCCCGTGAAAATTTCTGCGGGTAAATTATTATCTCGGGAACTACAAAATCTAGGATGCTGAAATTTTAAGGTAATGACGCCTTGCCCACGAACGATCTTGCAAATCCATATTCAGCGCTCCCGCGCTCTCGGGCATCACCCAAAGGCCTGTGAAAGTTTTTGCGGGTAAATTATCTCGGAAACCACAGGATCTAGGAAGCTGAAATTTTGGATAGTGATCCCTTTCCCACGTACGACCTTGCAAATTCAAATTCAACGTTCCCGCATTCTCGGATATTACTTACGGCCTCGTAAAAGTTTTTTGCGGGCAAATCATTGTCTCGAGAATCGCAAAGTACACAAAGTTGAAATTTTAGGATAATGACCCTTTGCCCACGTGCGACCTTACAAATTCAAATTCAGAGTTACTACGCTCTCGGGTATCATTTACGTCTTCACGAAAATTTTGGCGGGTCTCGGGGATCACGGAACGAAATCCACCCTTCCAGGTTTCAAATACAACTTTCATGAGTCGCTGCGTGAAATTTTCAACTATTATTCAACGTTTCAGCTATTTTTGCATAGACTAAAATAAAAAGCAGTGAAAATCATTAATGAGCAATCGTTTGGTGGGCTGAATTGCAAAAAACGCAAGATCGCACCGGCTAGTCTGGTGCGCGTTGCTATTTATTATGTTAAAACCGGTACGAAATACTGGAATATTCAAAAAATAACCTTGAGATCAGGGCACAGTGAGTTATTAGAGTCGTGCCCGAGTTCCGTAACCTGCATTTTGCTTCGAACGAAAATTTAAAAGCTTCGAAATTTTAGTATATCTCTTCCCGCAATCATAAAATTGATTTGAAATGGACTGGTCGAGTTAAAAATGGCCCGAAAGTTGATTTTAACAGGAAGATCAATTATATGTATGTACGTATACATATATATATACATATATATATACATATATATACGTATACATATATATATATATATATATGTATACGTACATACATATAATTGATCTTCCTGTTAAAATATATATATGTATATATATATATATATATATA